CCAACATAGTCTCTACTAAAAATACAAAAAAAAAAAAAAATTTAGCCAGGCGTGGTGGTGCGTGACCATATTCCCAGCTATGTGGGAGGCTGAGGCAGGAGAATCGCTTGAACCCGGAAGGGGGAGGTTGCAGTGAACCGAGATCATGCCACTGCACTCCAGGCTGGGTGATGGAGCAAGACTCCTGTCTCACAGGAAAAAAAACAAAAAAACAAAAAAACTCACATTCTTAAGGCCTAAAATGTACTAAAAGTAAAACAGGAAAGCAAAAATGGGGGGAGGATTCTTTCTGTGAATGCAAACATGCTTGACCAGTGAGATGTAGTTGAAAACCTAGACCACTGGTGTAGACTGACATTGTATGGACTCTCCATACTCACATACAGCAGATGCAGAGAAGGGCACAGAGGGAGGGAGTGATAAACCTGAAGATAAATTGAGAAATCAGAATTCTCGCTTTCATGTACTCAGTGACTTCTTGGCAAACCGTCTAATCCCAGTCTGCAGTTTTAAAGAACATGCTATGATTGTTAGCAGCACCCACTCAGATAACGCTGGAACTTGTTTGTAAATAAAGTTCCAGCTTCAACAAACCACATGCTCCTCACAGCCATTTATGCACTTTACTTCATCTGTCTCTTATACTGTCTGAGAAAAAAATAGAGATGGGGGGTCTCACTATGTTGCTTAGGCTGGACCTGAACTCCTGGACTCAAGCCCATCCTCCTATCACAGGGTGAACCCCCAAATTGGAGTTCAGCCCAGGAGGCCACGTGATTTCTTGGCTTTGCACAGGAAGGATTCAAGAGTTAACAGAGTAAAGTGAAACAAGTTTATTTTAAAAGTAAAGGAATAAGAGTGGCTAATGCCATCAGAAGAGCAGCCATGAGAGCTGCAGGTTGCTGTTTTTATGTTTGTTTCTTGCTCATATGCTGAACAAGGGTGGCTTATTCATGAATTTTCCAGGGAAAGGTCAGGGAATTCCCAGAAACGAGGGTCCCTCCCCTTTTTAGACCATGTAGGGTAACTTCCGGATGTTGCCATGGCATTTGTAACCTGTTACGGTGCTGGTGGGAGTTTCCTTTAGTATGGACAAATCGTGGATTAGGATTCGTGTATAATGAGCAGTGAGAGGACCAGGGGTCGCTTTCATCACCATCTTGGTTTTGGTGGGTTTTTGCTGGCTCCTTTACCACATCCTGTTTTATCAGAGGAGTCCTTGTGACCTATGTCTTGGGAAACAAGTCCTGCCAAACTCCTGTCACACCCCCACCTCAGCATCTCAATAGCACAGAGTGCCCTTGTCTGCATTTGCCACATGTGAGTAGTCACCTGTATTGGTCCACTCCCATGCTGCTATGAAGAAATACCTGAGACTGGGTAATTTATATAAAGGAAAGAGTTTTTGTTGGTGGTGGTGGTGGTGGTGGTGGTTTTTGTCTGTTTGTTTTTGAGATGGAGTCTCCCTCTCTTACCCAGGCTGGGGGGCAGTAGTAAGATCTCGGCTCACTGCAACCGCTGCCTCCCACATTCAAGCAATTCTCCTGCCTCAGCCTCCCAGGTAGCCTGGATTACAGGCACCTGCCACCATGCCTGGCTAAATTTTTTGTATTTTTAGTGGAGACAGAGTTTCACCGTGTTGTCCAGGCTGGTTGTGAACTCCTGACCTCAAGTGATCCACCTGCCTCGGCCCCCATGCCTGGCCTAAAATAAATCCTTTTATTGTGAGTTACACAGATCATTCATGACATGCTTGGACTTTCTGGTTTGTCCTGAACATTCCTCTTTATTTCTTAAACGACTAGTCATTTTATTCTAGGTCTAAATTTACCATACAAGATTCTTTCTCATATAAAATTATATCTCTTTAAGCTTTCTTACCCAAAAAAACCTCTTTATTTCTATAACTTTCTTTATATCTCTCTTATTTCCTGGTTCCTTTTACCTTGTTTTATACATGACCTTTAAATAAGCTTTGAATTTGACAAAATTTGTTCACCTTTTTAAAAAGGACACTTAAGAAAGAATGTTTTCCTACAATATGTATTTTTATTTGAAAATACTCAAATAATGAAATATCTATTATTTAATTTAACTTTAGATTCTAAATTATGACAAGTTTGTCTACAAGTATTTATCTCATTACATTTACCTAATTATTTTATTTTGTCTACCTAGATTATTTATGAAAACTGTGATAGTCATCATTTAAAGCTATGAAACTCTGAGACAATGAAAATGATATGACCTAACTGACTCCATCTTGCTTCTAACCTCCAAGCTGACCTTGTTCATTCCTGAGCTTTTGGAGGAACTGAATTTATAGTTTAGCATTAAAACAAAGACAATAGCAGTCCTTTCCCAAAACAAACCTCCTTACTGCCTATAGACTAGACTGCCTAAAGCCACAAGATTAGAAGTTATGGGAATTTTACTAAGTAATTCAAGAACAATATCAGTGTCTTATTTATTAAAGATACACTAGCAAGAATCATTCTGTTTTGGACTGGGTTTATGGTTTTGTAACCCCTGTGCCAAATTTTGACACCTTATAGTATTGGGCAAGGATAGGTATGAAATTGCTTGATTAATAAATGCAAATAAAATGTATGCTGGAAATTCTTAAGACATTTCTAATATTACTTTACCAATACTTTTAAAGCTAGCTTACTTATTAAAGATTTTACTTAAGTCATGTAAACTTGAAAAATAATTTGACTAGTTTTTCCTTTTTCTGATACAGTATTTTATTTAAATGCTTTTATTTTTCTTTAAACCAATTAATTAGAGCTCTTTTATACATTTTTGGTAGTGAAACATTGTATATACAACACATAAATACATAGATGTATTAGGCATGCCAATAGAAATACATCTTATAGGCCAGGTGCAGTGGCTCATGCCTATAATCCCAGCACTTTGGGAGGCTTAAGTGGGTGTGTCACCTGACATCAGGAGCTTGAGACCAGCCTGACCAACATGGTGAAACCCCACCTCTACTAAAAATACAAAAAATTAGCCGGGCGTGGTGGTGGACGCCTGTAATCCCAGCTACTCGGGAGTCTGAGGCAAGAGAATTGCTTGAACCTGAGAGACAGGTTGCGGTGAGCCAAGATCGTGCCACTGCACTCCAGCCTGGGCAACAGAGCAAGACTGTCTCAAAAAACCAAACAACAACAACAAAAACGAATTATATCTGATAGACGTAGACTTATAAATACCTTTTTTTTTTTTCCTATCTTAGACTTTCAGATACTTGATAACCTGTTTCACAACCCTAGGCAGTTGTCAGTTAAATAGCCTTAAATGTGCATATTAAAGGAAACACTCAGGTGAAAATCAAATAGAAAAAATTTACATCATAAGGTACAGAGAGTAAAAGTCTGATGGGGCTAGAGGAAGATTAAAGATGGATGCCAAATCAAACATAAAATTATAGAACTATCATAGGATAGTATAAGAATACCAATTTTATTTAGATAGGGCCTACCTATCTTTTAACTGGATCTCTGAGCTCTGGGAAAGCCCACATTGAATCTTGGGTCTACAAAAAGTGGGAATTATGAGGTTAGACCATGTGTACTTTTACAGTACACTTAAAAAAAATTTTTTTCAACAAAGACATTTCTAAGTGTCTAAACCACATTTTTCCTCAAAAACCCAAGAGTAAGGCAAGGTGCAGTTGCTCATGCCTATAATCCCAGCACTTTGGGAGGCCCAGATGGGTGAATTGCTTGAGCCCAGGAATTCAAGACCAGCCTGGGCATTAGAGTGAGACTGCATCCCTACCAAAAAAAAAAAAAAAAAAAAGGAATTAAAATAAAATAAAAAGAAGGGATGCAGGCCTGCTAACACCTCGGTTTTTAGCTCATAAAGACCCATTTTGGACCTCTGACCCCAGAACTGTAAGATAATAAATGTGTGGGGTGGTTTTGGTTTTTGGAATTTTTTCTTTTTCTTCCTTCTTTCTTTCTTTTTCTTCCTTCTTTCTTTCTTTTTTTATTTTTTAGAGACAAGGTCTCACTATGTTGCCAGGCTGGTCCCAAACTCCTGAGCTCAAGCAATTCTCTTGCCTTGGCCCCGCAAAGTGCTGGGATTACAGGCATGCACCACCGAACCCAGCCTTGTGTTGTTTTAAGCCACTAAATTTGTGGTCATTTGTTTCAACAACCATGCGATATTATTTCACCCACCCTGCTTGTTTGTTTTCTCTTTCTGTTATTTTAAGCTTTTCCCTTTCAGTTTTAGAGCTGAGAAGATCTATCAAACATGAATTTGGCCACAAGCTGACTCTTTTCTCTTCGCCTTGTTGCCCAGGCTGGTCTTGAACTCCTGGGCTCAAGTGATCTATCCACCTCAGCCTCCCAACGTGCTGGGATTGCAGGTGGGAGTCACCGTGAGATATGGTTTGGTCGTGTCCCCACCCAAATCTCATCTTGAATTATAGTTCCCATAATCCCCATGTGTTGTGGGAGGGACCCGAAGGCAATTTAATCATGGGGGCAGCTATGCTTATGTTGTTCTTGTGATAATGAGTGAGTCCTCATGAGATCTGATGGTTTTATAAGGGGCTCGCCTCACCCTTAGTTCTCATTCTTCTGCTTCCTGCCGCCATGTGAAAAAAGACATGTTTGCTTCCTCTTCCACCACGATTGTAAGTATTTTGAGGCCTCCTGAGCCCTGTGGAACTGTGAGTCAATTAAACCTCTTTCCTTTATAAATTACCCAGTCTCAGCTATGTCTTTATTAGCAGCATGAAAATGGACTAATATACCGTGACTGGCCCCATGATATTTAAAGAAATAATTTATTTTCTCTAAGACTTCTATTTTATCATCTGCCTCTTTCAGAGTTTGTGGGATAATGACAGGATTTAAAGGCTTTCAAGTAATTAGAAATTGTTTTCTTTTCTTTTTGAGATGGAGTCTAGCTCTGTCACCCAGGCTGGAATGCATTGGCGTGATCTCAGCCCACTGCAACTTCCACCTCCTGGGTTCCAGTGATTCTCCTGCCTCAGCCTCCCATGTATCTGGAATTACAGGCTCCCACCACCACATCAAGACAGGAGAGGAATTTCAAGGTCAGTTGGTCCAAGCAACTAGCTCATATTGAGTCACTTCTTTAAAACCGTACCACTTAAAATCTGTACTGAGAATTTAAAACTGAATTCCATAATCTTTGTCTCATGTACATTAGAATCTCGATATCTCAAAAGTGCAGGAACCCTGCCTTACACTTCTAAAACCCTTAGAACATCTTGTCTGTGTCTTGGCATGTAGCCAGGAATAGACACATTTTGGTAAACTTGGCAAATACCCAGTCATCATTGGCATTTGAAGATTAACTCATTGGTCAATATTCAACCCCCTTCGATTAGATGTTTCTGTGTGTTTTGAAAGCTCAAGCCTATGGGAGTGGCTGCCTCCAGGATTCTATTTGTACTGTTTTTTTGTTTCGTTTTGTTTTGTTTTTGTTGTTGTTGCTGTTGTTGTTGAGACAGGGTCTCACTCTATCACTCAAGCTGGAGTGTAGTAGCACACACATAGCTCTCTGCAGCCTCAACATCCCGGGCTTGAGCAATCCTCCCACCTCAACCTCCTGAGTAGCTGGGACCACAGGCGTGCGCCTCCATGCCCCGGCTAATTTTTGTATTTTTGGTAGAGACAGAGTTTCACCACGTTGCCCAGGCTGGCAACATGAGTTTGTCCCAAACTCCTGGGCTCAAGCAATCCACCCACCTTGGCCTTCGAAAGTGCTGGGATGACAGCCATGAGCTACTGTGCCCCACTTGCCTCCTGGATTCTAGAAGTCAACTGTATGGTCAATCTCTCCCTTCAAGCAGAGATTGAATTTAGAGTCCCAATAGGAGGCAAATGGGATATACAGAACTGAAAATACTGCCATTGTCCTAGTCCAGGTGAGAGGAGCACGTCGGACGGACAACATTGCTAAGTGGAGAGGCAGGATGTCAAAGGTGGTGTGGAGCACAGCTTTGGCCCTATATTCCAGCAGTGTCACTGGGGTGATTTGAGCTGTCTCCCCTAATCACCTAAACTCTCTGACTCCAGTTTCCATGTCACTCAACTAGCGTAATAATACCCACGTATCGGCCGCGTGCAGTGGCTTACGCCTGTAATCCTAGCACCTGCCGCACCCTGCCCTCTGAGGCCCTGGCAGCTGGGGGCGGGCGCGGTGCGGACGCTGCACACAGGACCGGCTCTGCTCTCGGTGCGTAAATTCACAGAGAAACATGAATGGATAACAACAGAAAATGGTATTGGAACAGTGGGAATCAGCAATTTTGCACAGGAAGTGTTGGGAGATGTTTACTGTAGTCTGCCTGAAGTTGGGACAAAATTGAGCAAACAAGAAGAGTTTGGTACTTCGGAAAGCGTGAAAGCTCCTTGTGAACTCTATTCTCCTTTATCAGGAGACGTAACTGAAATTAATGAAGCCCTTGCAGAAAATCCAGGACTTGTCAACACATCTTGTTATGAAGATGGTTGGCTGATCAAGATGACACTGAGTAACCCTTCAGAACTAGATGAACTTATAAGTGAAGAAACATATGAGAAATACAAAAAATCTATTGAGGAATGATCATGGAACCCCTTAATAAACTAGTATGAAATTACTCAACCCAGCAGAGTTGTCTTAGATTAGTGGATAGAAGACTTAGAATAGCAACTTTTAGCATTACTGATGGGGAAAAAAAAACTATTGTTAACACTACTAATGAGAGAAAGTGCCCTTTACCTTTCGGATGATTATAGATAAACATAATGCACGCCCTGTTCACAATACCCTATGATTTTTAAGCTAGGCTCTAGTATTCAGAATTCATGAAATTATCCATGGTAAAAACTAGTTATAAAAATTACATAATTCAAAGATAACGTTATTCTTAAGCCTTATATAATATTATAACTTGCATATATCCATCCCTGGATTTGGGTTGAAATATTTAATGATCTTTTCATTGGAAAAAACGGGAGTGAAGAGGTTTTTGCTGCTTGTACAGTGTCAGATGAAGAACAACACTATCTTAATTTTGCAATATGCTGCATTTGCTGGTGCTATTTTTATGCTGTGAAAGCAACAGCTTTGCCACAAAATAATAAAATACTTCTTCATTTAAAAAAAATATAGATAGATAGATAGATAGATAGATAGATAGATGATAGATAGATAGATAGGCCGGGTGCGGTGGCTCACGCCTGTAATCCCAGCACTTTGGGAGACCAAGGCAGGTGGATCACGAGGTCAGGAGATTGAGACCATCCTGACCAACACGGTGAAACCCCATCTCTACTAAAAAAAAAAATACAAAAAATTAGCCTGGCATGGTGGCGGGTGCCTGTAGTCCCAGCTACTTGGGAGGCTGAGGCAGGAGAATAGTGTGAACCTGGGAGACGGAGCTTGCAGTGAGCTGAGATCGCACCACTGCACTCCAGCCTAGGCGACAGAGTGAGTCTTTGTCTCAGAAAAAAAAAAAAAAAAGTAGATGAAGAGATGTGTAGGACAAGGTATGGGAGAAGGGACTCTGAATTTCCCTGCCCTCTTTTGGCACACCGTCCTCTAGGAACCTCCATGTGCTCAGCTATCTGGAAGCTTCCTGTCCTCTTGGGCCTTTTATGGAGACTTCATTGGATAGATCTGATTGTAGCACGGACAACCTTCTAGAAATATGGTTGGTAGGCTGGGTGCGGTGGCTCACACCTGTAATCTCAGCACTTCAGGAGGCTGAGGTGGGTGGATCACGAGGTCAGGAGTTCGAGACCAGCCTGGCCAATATGGTGAAACCCCGTCTCTACTAAAAATACAAAAAATTAGCCAGGCATGGTAGTGGGAGCCTGTAATCCCAGTTACTTGGGAGGCTGAGGCAGAAGAATCGCTTGAACCCGGGAGGTGGAGGTTGCAGTGAGCCGAGATCGTGTCACTGTACTCCAGCCTAGGTGACAGAGTGAGACTCCATTTCAAAAAATAAATAAATAAATAAATAAAATAAATATGATTGGGTATGATCTAACACTAACAGCCTGAATGGGGAAACCCAACAAGGCCCATCTGATCAGATTCTTCTTGGTCTGTCTGTGCGGCTTTCCTTCCTCCAGGGAACAGGGCAGGACCTGTCCGAAGTGAGGGTATTGTGACCTACAGTCACACAAAGTAGCTCAGGGGATTTCCTCATGGCCAGCTCCCAGACAGAAAGATAGGAAAAGAAACAGGTAAAAGGTGGGGAGAAAAAGGAGCAGGTAAAAAGGTGGGCAGAAGGTCAGAGACAAAGAGGTTCTGTTTCCTGAAGCCTGCTTGTGAGAACTAAAGTACCCTAACGTTATAACAAACAACTGTAATAACAAGAGCCATGGGAGTTATAAGCCAAGAATCGTGGGTGAAAACATATATATATGTTTATAACACATATACATGGAATGCATACATATATGAGACACATATATATTTTTTTCATCCATGGTTCTTAGTTTTATATAAAATATCACAACATGTGTTTTCAAAGGTTTTCAGAAGCAACTGAAATTCTCCTACTTGGGGACCATAAATAGTTTAATCACTTATTTTATGTATTTATTTATTTATTTTAGATAGTCTTGCTTTGTTGCCCAGGCTGGAGTGCAATGATGCAATCTCTACTCATTGCAACCTCTGCCTCCCAAGTTCAAGCAGTTCTTGAGCCTCAGCCTCCCAGGTAGCTAGGATTACAGGCGCCTGCCACCACGCCCAGCTAATTTTTGTATTTTTAGTAGAGACCCGGTTTCACCATGTTGGCCAGGCTGGTCTCAAACTCCAGACCCCAGGTGATCTGCCCATCTCGGCCTCCCAAAGTGCAGGCATTACAGGTGTGAGCCACTGCACCCGGCCTAGTTTAATCACTTTAGAGAGTGCCAGCAATATCCAGTAAAACTGACAATGCCAATAATACACACCCTAGCGACTCTACTCTTGGTCTGACCTTAAAGCAAAGATCCTCAACCTTGGCTCCATGTTAAAAAATGCCCGAGGGAGTTTTGTTTTTATTTTTTAAATCTGATGTCTCAGGTCCACATTCAGAAATTTTGATTTCATCTGTTCTGAGATGAGGCCCAGAAATGGTCTTTTAAAAGCTCCCTAGGCCATTCTAATGTGTACCCTGCCCAAGAGAAAATCACCCATACAGATAAAGAGGCATTCACCTTGCACCAACTACATAAATAAAATCAAGGGGATTTAAGCATCTAAATGTAAAACACAAATCTTTAAAATACTTTTCAAAATTAAATGACTATCTTATGACCTTGGAATACAAAAAGATATCATAAGGACCAGGCTCAGTGGCTCACACCTGTAATCCCAGTACTTTGGGAGGCCAAGGCTGGAGGATTGCTTGAGCCCAGGTGTTCGAGGCCAACCTGGGCAACATAGCAAGACCCTGTCTCTATTTTTTATTTTAATAAATTTAAAAAGAAAAAAAAAAAAGCCAGGCACAGTGGCTCACCCCTTGTAATCCCAGCACTTTGACTGGCAGAAGTTCAAGACCAGCCTGGTAAACATGGTGAAACCCCATCTCTACTTAAAATACAAAAGATTAGCCAGGTGTGGTGGCAGGCACCTATAATCCCAGCTACTTGGGAGGCTGAGGCAGGAGAATCGCTTGAACCTGGGAGGTGGAGGTTGCAGTGAGTGGAGATGGCGCCACTGCATTCCAGCCTGGTCAATGGTGCAAGACTATATATATATACACACACACACACATACACACACACACACATATATACACATATCTATACACACATGCACATATATACACATATATACATATATACACATATATACATATATACGCATATATAAACACATATATACATACATATATACATACACATATATACACACATATATACACACATACACATACATATACATATACATATATACATATATACACATATATAAACACATGTATATACACACATATATATATACACACACACGCATAGTTATACAAGGAATTTTTCAGTGGTAAAGGTGAATCAACTAGAAATATGTGTACTAATGTGAATAATTCTTAAACACAATGTTGATCAATAAAAGCAAGATATGATGAGGTGTGGTGGCTCACGCCTGTAATCTCAGAACTTTGGGAGGCCAAGATGGGCAGATTACTTGAGGTTCGGAGTTCAAGACCAGCCTGGCCAACATAGTGAAACCCCGTCTCTACTAAAAATACAAAAATTAGCCGGGTGTGGTGGCGGGCGCCTGTAGTCCCAGCTACTCAGGAAGCTGAGGGAGGAGAATTGCTTGAACCTGGGAGGCAGAGGTTGCAGTGAGCTGAGATCATGTCACTGCACTCCAGCCTGGGTGACAGAGCGAGACTCCATCTCAAAAAAAAAAAAAAAAAAAAGCAAGACATTCAGAATGATGAAATGTGACAACAATTTTTTAAAATTGAAACACAAATCAATACCCTATGTGTTTATGGATACATACGTAGGTTTTACAAGTATGAAAACACCGCCAGGCGCGGTGGCTCACGCTTGTAATCCCAGCACTTTGGGAGGCCGAGGCAGGTGGATCACCTGAGGTCGGGAGTTCAAGACCAGCCTGACCAACATGGAGAAACCCCGTCTCTACTAAAAATACAAAATTAGCCGGGGTGGTGGCACATGCCTGTAATCCCAGCAACTCGGGAGGCTGAGGCAGGAGAATCGCTTGAACCCGGGAGGCGGAGGTTGCGGTGAGCCGAGATCGCGCCTTTGCACTCCAGCCTGGGCAAAAAGAGCGAAACTCTGTCTCAAAAAAAAAAAAAAGAAAAAAAAAAGAAAACACATAGGTCTGAAAAACATTATCCTGAATTTTATTTTTACCTCCAGGGAAAAAGGGGAAATATCTAAAAATTAAACTCCAATGTCTTTTGGAGGCATGATCCTCTAGAGCTAAGTTTTAGATTTTTTCATTATTTTAAATGGTATTTTAAGACGTACAAAAAAAGTACAGATGATGATACAACAGACTTAGCTGATGTTTATGACTTAGTGGAACACCTATAATATTACAGGTTTATCGGAAGCCCTAATTCAATTTTCCTTTCTCCTTGACAGGATTATCTTGCCTCTATGAAGTGTAACTTTAAAGAGAAGGTGGATGAGCTTCTAGAGAGCTACCAAGACAGTCACTACCTCATCATTAGTAAAAACTGTGTTTACTTCCGATGTGTAATAAACCCTACGCGACCATTTGGGGGCGCCAGAGTACAGCACAGACTGGCGGAGCCCACGCCCGGGGAATGCAACAACTGGTTCAACTGCTCCACGCTGATTAATAATCAAACTACTACTGTGTGGGGCCTATCTTCCTATTGGACCTCAAAACCCACTTACTCCACAAGTTTATCTTCACAATTATGAGCTACCCACTTCACGTCACACTCCAGCACCTAAAAGCAAATAATAAAGTTTATTCTTGAGTTAACCGGCCTCTGTGTTCAGCCAATCCCTCCTGTACGTGAGTGATGCACCTGGATGCTACATAAAGACAGGCGGAAATACCTAAGGTGTGGTCCTTACTCCCAAGGGGCTTACAGCAGCGTGAAGACTCGAAAGCAAGCACACCCACACCCACAACACAGCCGCTGGCACACACAGCAGGAGAGACACCGGGTTTAATGGAGCAGAGAAAGTGGGCGTCATCTCCAGGCACAGCTCCATGAAGATGACATTGACCTGGGAGCTCTGAGCCTTCATATAATGGTTAAGCTTTCAGCCGGAAGAAATCCCAAGTGGAGAAATAGGAAACTATAAAAGAGCAGTCGTTTTGGATTCACAAAACCTGCCTGAGTGAACCTGGGTAAGTTGCTTCCCCTTCTTGATATCAGGAAGGGTTTTGCAGAGCTAGCAGCCACGGGCACAGGTGAGCGGATGGCTTGAGCTCAGGAGTTCAAGACTAGCCTGGGCTACGTGGCGAAACCTGGTCTCTACAATCTTTGTAAAAGTTTTCCTTTCTAGCTACAAATTAATAAATGTTAATTTTAAGATAAAAATTAGAAAATCTAAGAAAATATAAAGAAGAAAATTAAATTACACCTAGTTCTGAAGAGGCACAGTGGCTCATGCCTGCAATCCCAGCACTTAGGGAGCCCAAAGCAGGAGGACCAGTTGAGGCCAAGAGTTCAAGACCAGCCTGGGCAACATAGTAAGACTCCCTCCTCCACAAAAAAATAAAAAATTAGCCAGGTGTGGTGGTGTGTGCCTCTAGTCCTAGCTACTGGGGAGGCTGAGGTAGGAGAATCGCTTGAGTCCAGCAGTTTGAGGTTGTAATGAGCTATGATTATGCCACTGCACTCCAACCTGGACAACAGAGCATGATTCTGTCTCTCTCTCTCACTCTATATATATATATATATATACACACACACACACACATAAATATATATATATATATGCTTAATCTTTTCACTTAGAAATATTTTCTTCTAATTTTTTTTCTGTCGGCTCTCCAATTTAATGTACAAAATGAGACTATACTGAATATACCTTTTATAGCCTGTTATTTAACTTAACATTATATTGTGACTGCTTTCTCGAATCAATGCATATAATTCTGTCTGTTTTTGCTTTCTTTTTCATCAAAGATGTACATGCACATAACCTAAGGATCAGTTCTGGAGTGACCTGGGGCCTAGGAAAGCCGAAGGGCAGGATTCAGTCATGCAGTGAAGAGAGGGACTAATGAAAGGCCTGAATGGTAACTCCTGATTGCTCTCATTCTATCCTATCTTGAAGCCCAGAATCCAGAGTCAGGTTTTCCCTGTTTCACCCCACGTCAAAAAGTGGAGCCCTCTTCTTTAATGAAATGGAAAGGCCTAACAAGAGGTAACCAAAACTGCTGGTTTCCCACACTGTCTCAGTAAAGCGAAGTCTGCCGCAACAATCCCTGACCTTGGGTGGAAGTGCAGTCCTCTTACTAGTGCTTCATTTAAAAAATATTAACTTGGTTGGACGCGGTGGCTCACGCCTGTAATCCCAGCACTTTGGGAGGCCAAGGAGAGCGGATCACCTGAGGTCAGGAGTTCGAGACCAGCCTGGCCAACATGGTGAAACCCCATCTCTACTATAAATACAAAAATTAGCCAGGCGTGGTGGCGGGCACCTGTAGTCCCAGCTACTTGGGAGGCTGAGGCAGAAGAATCACTTGAACCCGGGAGGCGAAGGTTGCAGTGAGCCAAGACTACACCATTGCACTCCAGCCTGGGTAACAAGAGCAAAACTCGGTCTGAAAACAAAATAATAATAATAAAGTAAATAAAAATAAAAATATTAACTTTATTGAAGTGCAATTTACACACAATAAAATACACTCTTTTTTTTTTTTTTTTTAGACAGAGTTTCGTTCTTGCTGCCCAGGCTGGAGTGCAATGGCGCTTTTTCTGCTCACCACAACCTCAACCTTCTGAGTTCAAGTGTTCTCCTGCCTCAGCCTCCCATTAGCTGGGATTACAGGTATGCACCACCACGCCTGGCTAATTTTGTATTTTTAGTAGAGACGAGGGTTTCTCCATGTTGGTCAGGCTGGTCTCTAACTCCCAACCTCAGGTGATCCGCCTGCCTTGGCCTCCCAAAATGCTGGGATTACAGGCGTAAGCCACCGCACCTGGCCTATTTTTATTTTTATTTTATTTTGTTTTTATTTATTTATTTTGAGACGGAGTCTCGCTCTGTCACCCAGGCTGGAGTGCAGTGACATGATCTCAGCTTACTGCAACCTCTGCCTCCCAGGTTTGAGCGATTCTCCTGCCTCAGCCTCCCAAGTAGCTGGGATTACAGGCATATGCCACTGCGCCCAGCTAATTTTTGTATTTTTGGTAGAGATGGGGTTTCACCATGTTGGCCAGGCGGGTCTCAAACTCCTGACCTCAAGTGATCCACCCACCCTGGCCCCCCAAAGTGTTGGGATTACAGACATGAGCCACCGCGCCCGGCCCTATTTTTATTTTTATAAAAACAAGGGCTCACTATGTTGCCCAGGTTGGTCTTGAACTCGCAGGCTCAAACAGCGTCCCCACCTTGGCCTCCTACAGTGCTGGGATTACAAGGCGTGAGCCACCACGCCTGGCCTGTGTAAGTCTTTCCTGGGAACATGCGTGTGGAAGGTGTTCAAAAAATATTTGTTAGGGATAAAAGACTTTATGGTAAATTTTTTTTAAAAAGAGAGAGACACAGAAAGAAATATTTGTTGGGCCAGGAGCAGTGGCATACGCCTATAATCCCAGCACTTTGGGAGGCTGAGGTGGGAAGATCACTTAAGCCTGGGAGTTCAAGACCAGCCTGGGCAGCATAGTGAGACCCTGTCTTTTTTTTAAAAAAAAGAAATATTTGTTGAATCAATGAATGATGAATCTCAGATCTCTTCTCATGTGCACTGAGAGAAATTATGAAGCTTTGGCCTGGCAGTAACTCATCTTACTATCATCATTATTATTATTTTAGAGACACAGTGTCACTCTGGCATGCAGTGGCACAATCAGAGCTCACTGCAACCTCAAAATCCTAGACTCCAGGGAGTCTCCTCCCTCATCCCCCCAAGTAGTTAGGGCTACAGGCAAGTGCCACCACTTTTGACTAGTTGATTTTTTATTTTGTATTTTTAGTAGCAATGGAGATTCACTATGTTGCCCAAACTGATGTCAAACTCCTGGCCTCAGGCAATCCTCCTGCCTTGGCCTCCCAAAATCCTGGGATTACAGGCATGAGCCATGGTGCCTGGCCAGTACTCACTTTAAAAGGGGATTTGAAACAGACTAAATCTGTTTCTGTAATTATTGACCATTGTGAACATGGTATAAATTCTGCTTCTACTTTTACACTGAATGAGTTTCTTTGACTGTAAACTGGAGATAAGACCTACCCTATTTTGGCATAGAAACAATGAATGGGATAGGAAGAATAGAAAACATATCACCAAAGTATTCACCGTGAAAATGTTTTAGAGTGGCACTTCCAACAGTTTATTTCAGAATAATATACGGCAGGAGTTCTTTTTACTATTTTTTTCTTCTGCGTATGAGATAAGCAGTTCAACAAAGCCTTCATGTTGGTAATTTTGTAGACATGCTCAGGGCTAGGTTTGTGGTAAAACCCTGAGAAGTTCCCAGTTTAGTTCAATTAAACGTTTTCTCCATGAGAAGATGACCCTCTTCCGTTGAAAGCTGCACACAGTCAGCTTGTGGGTCTTTGAAACCCCAAAATTCATAGCTTCTCTAGGCCCTGGGGGCTGCACCACGTGGCTCTCGGGTTGTCACCGGGCCACGAAATGATTGTATTGAGTTACCCTGTCAACACTATGGATGTTGTTTGGATTACCACGAGAAAGAGAGAAAGAAGGAAAGTTGGGAGGCTCATGAACATTCAAAGAAAGCCAAACTCTACCACAAACAGTGCCATACTGAGAAAATACGGATAAAAAAGACAGATCAAGGCCTGCACAGTGGCTCGTGAGTAACCCCAGCACTTTGGGAGGCCAAGGCAGGAGGATTGCTTGAGCCAAGTGTTCGAGACCAGCTTGGACAACAAAGTGAGACTCCATTTCAACCAAAAATTTAAAAATCAGCAGGACGGGCTGGTATGTGCCTGCGGTTTCAGCTAAAAGGGGGGCCAAGGCCAGAGGATTGCTTGAGCCCAGGCCACTGAGGCTGGAGTGAGCCATAATTGCGCCACTGCACTCCAGCCTGGGCAACACAGTGAGACCCTGCCTCCAAAAAATAAATGAATCGATAATAAAAATTTGCCAGTGTTTCAAATTGCACAGACATTAAAGGGAAAAATTACGGAATACAATCCTCAAATGGAGGCAGCATTAAGGTCACTCGAATGATCACTGAAGGATTACAACGTCTGCAGCAACACTTGGACCAGTTAGAAAGAAAGAGACGGGCTGGACACGGTGGCTCACGCCTGTAATCCCAACACTTTGGGAGGCCGAGGTGGGCGGATCACCTGAGGTCAGGAGTTCAAGACCAGCCTGACCAACATGGTGAAACCCCATCTCTATTAAAAATACAAAAATTAGCCAGGTGTGGTGGCGGGTGCCTGTAATCTCAGCTACTTGGGAGGCTGAGGCAGGAGAATTGCTTGAACCTGGGAGGCTAAGGTTGCAGTATGCTGAGATCACGCCGTTGTACTCCAGCCTGGGCAATAAGAGCAAAACTCCATCTAAAAAAAAAAAAAGGAAGAAGAAGAAGTCCAGGCACGGTGGCTCACACCAGTAATCCTAGCACTTTGGGAGGCTGAGGCAGGCGGATCACCTGAGGTCAGGGATTCGAGACCAGCCTGACCAACATGGAGAAACCCTGTCTCTACCAAAAATACATTAGCCACGCATGGTGGTGCATGCCTGCAATCCCAGCTACTCGGGAGGCTGAGGCAGGAGAATGGCTTGAACCTGGGAGGCGGAGGTTGTGGTGAGCCAAGATTGCACCATTGCACTCCAGCCTGGGCAACAAGAGTGAAACTCTATCTCAAAAAAACAGAAAAAGAAAAAAAGAAAGAGACAATATCTTCAAATTATAATGTTCTTCCCAAAGATTTCAGTTAAAAAAAAAAAAAAAAAAAACTTCAACTATCAATTGATAATTGGTATCATTGATATCATCCGCTTCTGACATCCAATCATTGACATCATGGCCCAGTGATCCAGGATCACCTGAAGCAGATGATCCTCCTGATGTTTGTCAGAAGCTCAAGAGAAGCCCAACACTCATCACAGTACTATGCCACTCACCTCGTGCCGCTCACCACATTGCATCATCTCATCAGACGGTAAGTACAGCACAGATATTTTGAGAGAGACTACATTCACATCACTTTTATTACAGTAGTTTATTGTAGTCTGTTATCATTGTTCTTTATTTTTATTTTGTAGAGATGGTGTCTCGCTTTATTGCCCAGGCTGGTCTTGAACTTCTGGGTTCAAGAAATCCTCCCGCCTCAGCCTCCCAAAGTGCTTGGATTACAGGTGTGAGCCACCACGCCCAGCCCAATTGTTCTATTTTATTATTAATGTTGTTAATCTCTTACTATGCTTAATTTATAAATTAAACTTTTTATTGGTGTGTATGTATAGCATATATGGGATTCAGGACTATCCATGATGCCACATATCCACTGAGGGTCTTGGAACGTACCTGCTGTTGATAAGTTGGGGGACTACTGAATATTATTCCTCCTCTTGCCTGTAGGATACCCCATCCAGCTTCGTCCCAGAGGATTATGAAATGAAACTGTTTATTACATTGGTGCAAAAGTAATTGAGGTTTTTGCCGTTAAAAGTAATGGCAAATGACTTTTTTTCTTTTTTTTGAGACAGATCTCGCTCTATCACCCAGACGGGAGTGCAGTGGTGTGATCTCAGCTCACCGCAACCTCCACCTCCTGGGTTCAAGCGATTCTCCTGTCTCAGCCTCCAGAGTAGCTGGGACTACAGGCGCACACCACCATGCCTGGCTAATTTTTGTATTTTTTGGTAGAGACGGGTTTCACCACGTTGACCAGGCTGGTCTTGAACTCCTGACCTCAGGTGATCTACCCGCCTCAGCCTCCCGAAGTACTGGGATTACAGGTGTGAGCCACCGTGCCCAGCAGGCAAAATTACTTTTAATGGCAAAAACCGCAATTACTTTTGCACCAACCTAATACCAAATAGACACCTGCATGGCCTCAATCCTAAATTAAATTATAGAAGAAATTGTTAGCAGCTACACACATCACTCAGCGGAGCCCAATCTTGGGGACAGGCAGTGGGAGAGGGAGGGAGTAGCATTCTTAGTCTGTATTGCAAAGCTGTGGGTTCTCCCTAGGTAACCCTAGGGTTAATGTAGTCATTCCAGACCTCTCTAAAGGCAGTTGTGAAAAGCCAAAGTCTCCTCCGCACACCATAGCCACCCGCACGCACACACACACCCACCCCCTCCGCACTCCTCCCGTCCTCTCTGCAGAGCTCTGCAGTCAGGCCTCCTAGGATTTCAGCTGGAAACATCAGGCACTCTTTGTCTATCCTTCAGTCGACCTTTCCTTTCCGTAACTGATTTCCCCCTGTGGACCAGAGGGAGCACAGCTTTAGGTTAATGTCAAAAGGATTTTTAACCCTTACTCCACTCGGAACTCTCTTGTGCATGTGCATGGAGGTGGCAGGCAGCATAGAGTGTCAGGTTCTCGGTCCTCATTAAGGTCAAGACGAAATTGATCATTGGCACCATGCCAGGACTTCTCCTAGGTTCTGTTGAGGCAGAAGCAAAGGGAAAATAAAATAGGATGTCATGTTCCCCAGCCCCAGAAGCCAACTGGAAACAATCGGAGGACATTGCAGCCCCCATCAGAGGTGATCTTTATGGTCAGGAACACTGGCTCCCAAGAAACTTTGCACGCTCTACTCTTAACA